GGAAGGATTCAGTATCTGAATGACGCCAGCATTAAAGCAGGACTGAAAATGAACCGAAAGAACCCACAAGTCATGTTTAACAAACACGCGACCTCGGAACTGTTTTATTGAACCGATTTAAGTTTAAAAAATTGAACAGTACGTCTACCTGGGACAGCTCATCTCTGCAACGGATGATCAGCTATTGGAAATCAACGGAAGTATGAAAATGGTATGAAGCACTTTCGGAAGACTGAAAATGTTGTGCTGTCGTGCTTCAGACGGAATGAATTTGATCAGTGTGTTCTGTCACTGCAAACTGATGCGTGCAAAATGCGACCCTCAACCTGGAATCTGTTCATAAATTGCAGACAACACAGCGCACCATGAAATATGTATGTTGCGAATTGTTAGAAAAGATAGGAAAACTAATGAATTGGTAAGAGCACAGATGATAGTCGGCGAATCACTGCCCGAGAGACGAAGTTAAAATGCCAATGGCGGGGCACAGTGCAAAAAGAATCGATCGTCGCTGGAGCAAAGAAACATATGACTGGGTTCCAAGCGATACTAAACGGCCCGCAGGAAGACCTCAAAATTGATGGCATGTTTAACTGAAATAATTCACTATATTAGGATGGATGAAAATAGCTGAAAACAGAAGATTGCATCAAAGTCTCACAATGGATTTCACCCTGCGGAGGATCTATTGAAGATGATGATGAAGTAGACACGCCGGGTGTAGTTGTTGGTAACTAAACGAGCTGGTGCTAACACCTACCGATCTTAGGAAACTGTCAGATGATGTCAGAGAACGGCATCTGGCTTGGTTTTATGCAATAATCCCTAAAGCCAGTGCGGATCCTTTCGAAACTTTCTAATGTAGGAACTGCAAACTAACGACTGGAACCGTAGACGCATTGGAAAGCAGCAAAAACATGGAAACACGTTGTTGAAGTAAATCTGTCTACTACGAGGAATGTGACGTTTGCCGTAACAGTGAACATTGCCTGATATTAATCTGGGGTAACGTTTCTACAGTCAGCCATCGCAAATTGGAGTTACTCTGCTGTTTAAGCTCTGTTAGCCTCAGATGAAGATGATGAAACTGCAACAATAGATTGCCTCGCAAATGAAGGGTTCATTACTGTTGTTATTCCGCTATTCATTCTTTTGTTGTTGTCCAGCCATGTTTTCTTCGATTCGATTTCTGTAGTTCTCCTATTTACATGTTTTTTTCTGTTTTATTGGTCGTTCGTCACGTCTTCTGTTTCTCACTTCCCTTTGAGGTCATTTAAGCAGGTGACAACTCCATGAGATTTGCGCAGTTCTAGTGTATGAATACACGCAGCTTTAGTTTTTGACTCTCCTCATTTACTGGTTTACCATTTGTCACCAATGAACGGGAGGCGGTTAAGCATTACAACAACTTTTGAGTTGCTCATTTTTCAGTGTTCAGTGGTCTTTCCGATCCCGAAATTATCCCTAGATGTTTTTATCTGACTGAGCAGATAATGTGCCTTGTTTGTCGTATATGTTCGTCGGCTGTGCTCGTTTGCCTTTCTGTTAAACTGCTTGTTAAAGTCGAGATGTTCGTTTCCACCCGTCACTAGCAGTGAAGCTATTCGCTGTAGGGCGTTGGGAACACGAACGGACGGGATACTTATTCATACCAAGTGACGATTCCGACCCCGGCGTGCAACATTGGCTTCGCCGTCGGCCACTTCAAGTTGTTCGTGCACCCGGAGATGAATGAGCTGTCAAACTTCTGCCCTCCTGACTTGCTGCCGTTGCTTTCACATACGTGCAAGAAGTTGCATAAGGCTTTCGAGTTCTTCGAGGAGCTGCTCTCGTTTCGTTACCCGTACAGTTCGTACAAGTTGGTGTTCGTCAACGACATTCCCGAGGACATGATTTCGTATTTGAGTCTGACGCTGATGGACGTTCGCTTTCTACATCACAAGACGATCATTGAACAAGAACCGGTGGTTCGTAGCCTGATGGCACGAGCGGTCGCTCAACAGTTTTTCGGTATCGTGTGCTTCTATTGTATAGTTAAGCATGATGGCGACGTTTGCACTGTTGCAGGTTGTTACGTGATGCCGTACAACTGGAAGGACAGATGGCTAGCGTGGGGTGCTGCTGACTACATCAGTCGTTTGTACGTGCAGCGTTTCTTCGGCAACAACGAATACCTGTACACCATCTACGAGCTGCTGAACGACGTTACGCATTACGAGAAGAAATTTGGTGGCATCGTGCTATCCGGCCCTAAGGGCCAGCGCACGGCCAGTGGTTTTTACTTCGATCCGTTGAACCCGTTTACGTGTAGTCCGTTGTACGTCGAGATGCTGGTCAAGAAAGCGTCGCTGGTCTTTCGCATGCTCGAGAAAAAGCTGGGCAAAGAGCTGTTCTTTCAGGTAGGCAGGGCGGCGTTTTGACCGTCGCCTTGTTTCGTATCGCGTCGTGCCCTTCTCACCCTTCATTGCAGGTTCTGAACAAATTGCTGACGGTCGGCGCCCACGTAACCCAGCAACGTTACCAGCCTTCGGCTTGGCTGAACATGCTGCTGTCCACCGACTCGTTCCTGAAATGCGTGTCCAATGTTACCGGCCAGGATCTACAAAATTTTTTCGACCAGTGGGTCGACCAAGGCGGACATGTTCAGTTTTCGGTCAGCTTCTCGTTCAACCGCAAGCGTAACATGATCGAGCTGGAGTTGAAGCAGAACGATTCTGCCAAAGGATCTGTCAAGTACCTTGGACCTGTAACAGGTGCGCGGCTATGTTCTTTAGTGTGGCTCGTTGACGCTTCAGATGTACTTGCGCATATTAACATATTCGCATTTTTATTTTTCTGTGGAATGCCGGCTTCTGAATCACTGCTTCATGGTAAGGAAGACATGGATGGAAAGGGCGGGACCGGCAGTGGCGCCATGGGTTATTTTTCTGTGGATTCAAACCCGTTGAATTTCTCTCATTACCTGCTGATTCCATTGAGTGAGAAATTCATCCTACCGTGTTTTGGCCATCCAGCCGAAACACTCGTAGCATGTCGTCGATCACAGCGACAGTAGGGTGCTTTCGTGTAGTCATGCCAAAGTCTGCGAGACATACGGCGACAGCAACTCTCTTCTGTCCACCTGATTGCTGACTAGAAATGAGTGCGTTGTGGAGTCGTAAACTTAGAAAATTGAAATTTATTGCTCTAACGAAAGAATCGATGCAAAGTGCATCTGTGTTTGTAGGTACTGAAACGCAAATGTCCCCTAGGCATCCGGAACCGGAAGTAAAGAGGCGTTATTTTAACGTCATGAAACTTGATTTTTAAGTATTCATCTACAATAATCGTGCAGTTTGTAATTCTATGTGCATAGGCGTTATTGTTGTTTCCCATATGATAATTTATGGTAACCACTCCAGTGATGTTTCGTGCACTGAATATGCTGCAGATATCTAAGAAAAGGGCTTTTCATGGTCTTCATGTTTCGTACGGATTTCTCCGTCTACAGAGTTTATTGCTGCAATGTCCCCGAATTCGAACCATACTTGGCATATCGTCAGGGCATAGTGATATACACAGATTTGATAAGGGTTCAACCATTGAATATTCCTGATCATTTGCGATTTAGCAGGTATTAACGTTTACAGATGACGTCCAGTTGTTGCTCAGCTCCATGCCATTGTCCCTGTTCAAACATCTACTATCCTGAATGAACAGAGCTTCTTTGATCTTTCTAAATCTGAAGTTGTTTTTGACACTGAACTGGGTTGGTGTATAGCCAATCTGTTTCATTGTTTTTGACGACACTGTTGCATTACCATCGAGTTATTGTTGCATTCTGATTTGATTACTGCAGCATCGTACATCTACCTCGTAGCTCATCCATTATATGCATTGCCTTTTTCTCCTAAGGCAGCGTTGTTTCAAAGGTGGCGCATTTGTTCCTTTCATCTTTCCTCAATGAAATCACGCGCTTCCTTTATGTAGGCTCCACCAGATTTGCAGGAAATACGGTAGACCCATCCGAACCATTCCTGTTTCAGCACCTTCGTTCTGACATGCATTAGTTGGCTTCGAGGGATCAGCTGAGATATGAACACAGAGGCAAGACGATGCTTCGGGTTTGTCGCTCAGATTGCGTAGGTAAGGCAGACATGTTACCTTATTGGTAAATTCAATGCTTATAACTTTTCAGCGAGTCAACCTGGTTCATTTATTAACTAATGGCTTCTTCTGCGAGGAGTTTGAGACAGTCATTGTTTCCTAAAGCTCTTGTGTATTGAAGTTCTTTTCGAATGCCGCGTTCGTCAGAGCTCACTCTCTGACGCATGCTGGCAAGAGTTTTGAGATGTTTTCGTTACTGCGTATAGATCATCGGAAGCAAATCATGGTATGGTTCGATTTGCGTTAGACCTCTGTTTTATAAAATTGAAAAAATGAATTATATATTTTATGAATTACTTTGTCGTAATCATTCTTGTCGGCAGCAGAGCTGCCCGATGTTTAAGACCCAGCATGTCTGCTCATCTGAATTTGTGAATGACCATTATCGTAGCGACCCGTTGAGGGCAGAAAGTCGAGCACTAGCAGGCAAGTCCTCGACACTGTCCATCTACTAATATAGA